AAAAAAGTCCGTAATGGGCTGTTGCAAGAAAGGGCCTGGGTTGGCAGCTTCGCCTACTCGCCGTCCGCACATTGGATCCACAAGGACCCTCGGAAGTGTCCTGGAAGGGATGATGGTGGCAGTGCGAGGCCCCTGCCGTGCACTGTCAACAGGGCCTTGGTACAGTAGCAGGATTGATGGCCGCAGGGGCCTGCGCGGAGTCACAGGCCTCTGGGTAGCAGGACAAGACAGAGGTGGGAGCGCCCCACCTGCAAGCTGACAATTCAAAACCTGGAACGTTGGAGGGCGCGAGCACCCTCTCATGGGAGGCAGGCCCCATCTGCCGGTTGACGAAATGAAATCAGAATGATCATGGAAACTATGCAGACCATATTCCCCGAGCCTGCTCTCGGAACATCGAAAAAACTGTTTCCCAGCGCTTCGGCTGGCAGGTGGCCCTGAGTGGCTGGTCTTCACTACCGACGGACCGAACCAACCCCTATCAGAACCAGAAACCCCAAGCAAAAGAAACCAGATGCAAGCCTGCTTCCAAAATGGAGAGGCTACCCCACTTAGCTTCGCCGAGGCTGAGTGACCTCGGCGCTCTGCCTGTCAGAGATCATCCTTCTGTTCCTGGAGTTTGGGCTTTTTGTGGGTGTCACGTGTGTCACGGGCAGTCAAGAAGAGGGCCTTCAGCTCATCAATCCCGGACTGCATCTGGTGTTGTTGCTGCGCCTGAGCCGTCTGAAGGGACTCTGTGGAGACCCGGAGCTGCGCGGCCAGATCTGTCGTCAGCGCCGATAGCTGCTCCTTCAGTCCAGTGACTGCTGCTTGAGTCGCATCCCTATCCTCAGCCTGGGTTTGGACAAGTTGTGCATGCTGCTGCTCCTGTTGCTTCTTGAGCTCCTGCATTCCAGCCTCTAGTGCCTGCAGTCTACTATCCTGTTGCTGAAAGCGGGCCTCCGTGGGGCCTGTGAGCTGCCTTGGAGCATTGGAAGTGGAGAGGGAAGACACGGAGGACCGGCTATCAAAGGAGGCAGCCTTCGACCATGGGTCCTGGAACAGCCAGGGATCTATCTCGGGCTCGGGGCGGGCCTTGGTCAGGCCTGGTGGAGGCTTTTGTTGCAGCTGGCCCGCCTGGACAATCCGTTGCTGTGTTGACCTTTGCTGGACCTGTGTGATGAGCACTGTTTGGCCGTTAAAGCTGGGATATGCAAGCGGAGGCTCAACCTCCGAGCCAATTAGCCAGTGCTGAGGGCCAAGTGCTTTCAAGACTTTGACCTTCCAATTCGAGGCGGTGGCCCAAGCCTGCACAGCAGTAGCATCAGCACTCGGAGGAACCGGGCCCAGGCGGAAGAGATGGCTCACTGCAACCTTGGATGGCATGGTCTGCCCCGGTCTCAGCTGCTGAAAGGTGCTGTCATGCTTTGCCTCGTGCACGCGGATTCCATAGCGGTTCTTCGCCCTGACGATGCCTAATTGACCTGGAACCTGAAGGGCTGCCTTGAGGGCCTCAGCTTTGGACTGGCCGATCCAGATGACACTGTAGCCCGGTTGGAGGCTATGGTCTTGGCGCCGTGGTATCATGTACACCAAGTTGTGCCCACTGCATGCCAGCAAAGTGTCACAGGCCTTCTGGTCAACCCTGGCATGGAAAGACACCTGGTCCGCCAGGCTGGGTGTGGTCCCTTTACCCTTCATGAGGTGTCGGCGACCCCACGGCTCGCTGAGGACTTTGTCGATTCCAGCATCAGCAAAGGCAGTGACAACCGTTTTGACCGGGTACTCAGAAAAGGCCTTCCAATTAGCAGCATCACACTCATCTGCGTGGACAGTGAATGTGCAGTACACAACATCAGGCAAATCCACCGTGACATTATTCTGGTGTGCCACCGAGACCTTTTTTCCCCCAAGGTTGTGCAAACACCCTGCAAGTAACAGCTGGGAACCACAGTTGCGACCCTTAGCCGGAAAGGACAGCTGCTGACTGCATTCTTTGGGGTTAGGGCAGTTGTGTCCAAGGACCACAAGCGCGAGCTCGTCAGGTTGAATACCTCGCATGGTGCGAAGGAGTTCGACAGCATGCTTAGGATCCGCCAACAGCACCCCCGAAACGCCCGGTCGAAGGCCCTCGAGGATGGCTGCATCCGACCCATCCTCATTTTTGAAGAAACCCGGTGTGAGGCTCACCTCAGCTGCTGTGATCTGTGCCCTGAGGTCCTGCTTGCGCCTTTGCATTGTGCTGCGAGCTCTTAGCTCGGCCTTGGCAACATGATTTGTGCCCTCTGGCAGCTGCACCTGGGCCGTTTTGGCGAAAGTCACGACCTGCTGCCATTTGTCCTCGTCAGTACCTGTCTGAAGGGCCTGCCATAGCCGCTGGTTGTTGGCAGCGGCTGCAACAGCATCGACAAAGCTAGTTGTAGCATTCAGGTCGATGCCCTTAGCCAAGCAAAGTGCTGCCAATCGTGTCTTAGACCAGTTCAAGTTTTCCTCTTTAACTCCACCCCCCGTGCAAGCTGGGTGCAGAGTAAGCAGCAGGGCTCCTGACTTTCGGACAACACGATGCTGTCGCTCAGCTCTCACGGCTTCAAGGCTACTGTCGGGCCATAACGGATGGGGCCCGGAGAAGACTCGGACATCAGGTGGGAGGGCAGTGGCCTTGGAAGCATCCCGCCACCATTCTTCAAGCAGATTGACCTGGAATGTACCGGGCAGCTGGCCCTGCCAAATGCCTTGTGCAACAACTTGAATCTCAATGGCATACCGGTCCTCCGGCTCAGCCAGGTCCTGGGCCATATTGAGTCTCGAGACCACATACCAGATACGAAGCTGTCCTTGCACGCTACTGGGCTGGAGATAGATACGAGTCGGGTCAGGTCTGAGGCGAAGTGACATAGCCTTGTGATCCTGGCAGGGGAAATTAATCACCTCAGACTTCCACCCGAGTGCCTCGGTCATCTGAAATGGGAAGCCCAACCAGAAATCTGTAGCAGCATGTTCAGGGCAACAGATCTCAACACACAAATCCTCGCGGCTGAGCTGGGTTTGCGGGAAGGCCTGGGCAAGGAAGGTGATGGACAGTGGTGGGCCATCACGTTCGAGGGTGTCGGCAATGATACAATGCCTGAAGTCCTCAGCATACCAAAGTCGCTGACCAGACAACCCATAGCAGATGAGATCTTCGCTGGCCCCTGACAAATCATCAAAGACATTGAGCAGTTGAGGCCAGAGCCTGGGGGAGGCCGTATCAATGATGTAGGTGCCTACTGCTGTAGCAACTGTGCACAAGTGGGCTTCCGACTGATTGAGGCTGAAGTCCCCGTTGCTCTCAATACAAGGTCTTTGGGGCAAGCGAATGGTCAAAGTCCCCAGGCGCTGCTGGTGATCGTTCGGGAGGCTCGACAGGGGTATGTCAGCCCCAAGCCATTGGAGCACCTGTTCCGGTTGACTGCCGTTCGGGACCTGTAGCTGCACGTCACCGTCAGGAAACTGCAGTGCCAACCGAACAAATTCTGCACTGGTTCGCTCAGGCAGGGGTCCCTGAACAAAGCATAAATCCGTGGCAAGTACATCAGCTACTTGATCCTTTCGGCAGACCAACCACGAACTACCAACCGGAACGAAAAGCGAGTTACTACCATGCAATCGGTGCTGGAGCACGAGGTTCACTGCTTCGTCTGGGGCGGGTACAGACTGCATTTTCATCGCCCTGCACGCGTACACGAGGCCAACAATGGCTTGAGGAACAGCTGTAGAACCCCCTAAGAGTCTCATCTGCTTCGTCTGTGCAGACAAGAGCAACAATGGTCTCACTGCCCCGTGCAAGGATCCAATCTCAGCCCCACTGAAAAACCGAACCTGCCCCTGGTCACGAAGCAAAAACCCCAAAAGGCCCTGTGACGACAGGGTCTGTTCCGACAGGTGATGCTGGGTTTGATACTGTGGCATGAAACACCCTGCTGTTTGCTGTGGTGACCTCAGACGAAATTGCTCCGGTGAGGCGGCAGGCCTCAGACCTCCTCTTGAGGGCGGCATGTACCACGGGTCCATGTAGACTCGCATCTCTTCATTTGAAAGAACCAAAGGCGCATGAAGGACCGGCGGGTGATCAAAGATTGCATGTGCATCCCTCAACGAACTGCGCTTAGCTGAGTTCCAGGCACAACCTAGCAGTGGGGCAGGCGCTTCGTGTGATCTATGAACCCACACCAGAACAACCCTGGGTCTGGCACAAGGCAAAACATCCAGCAAGTTAAGCGATTCCTTCCAGTGCAAGGTGTAACCTGCTTCTTGCCAGCATGCCAGAACTGTGGCCTGGTGAGGATGCCTAAGGAAACCCGAACTAAGCTCCAAAGCAACCACCGGAATCTCAAAAGCCCCTGCTATGTCTGCTAGGCGTAGCAGCATTTGCCCGTCCGGCGCCAACAAGCCAGCTGCACTTTCAGAAGCGTTCCAGGGTTGGCTGGGGGGAGATGCTGCCACAATCTGCACGGGGTGTGTAGCAAAACAATGCAACCACCATTGCCAATTGAAATCAGCATTGACATGCATTGGCTCGGCAGCTTCAGCATCAACAGCTTCAAGATCATCAAAGCTCTGGACCACCCGGAGATTAGGGACCTGGGCCTGTAGCATCGCAATCCCATCATCATCAACATCCATGGTCCATCGTGTAGAAATGGGCAATCCTGAAGTATGAAGCACCCATGCAGCCTGAGCCCACCCTGCAAAGCCGCCACTGAAAAGCTCTGCCATGTAGAGTGACTCGCCGACTTGCGTCGGCCTGTAAGCAGCTACCACGGTTGCTTGTGCTGTGCAATCCAGGACACAGTCGCCCTGAACCTGACAACTCTGTGCTTGCAAAACTCTGATCAACTGGTGTGGCTCCTCCAAGAAGAACCAGTCAGCATGGCGCATCCGCAGCACCACCTTTTGCCCTGAATTGAAAGAGTCGCCCTCGCTCCTAACCAAGTGGGCCCTGACCAGTAATGCTTCCTGCGTCGACAGAACTTGGCCAAAAGGCTGTGCTACATAATTGCATGTGGCCGAAGGCATCCCCGGAAGAATCTCATGAGAAAATCGGCTCAGCCGCCTCCATTCGCTCGCGATCAATGAAAGCTCAGGATTCACAGCAGAATGTTCACTAGACATGGCTCAATTCGCACCCGGCTACGGGCAACGACGTCGCCTCGTGTAGGCCTGAGCCCAGACGCTAGTGCCCCGTAAACCCGAAACCCCCTCTCTCTCTCTCTCTCTCTGTCTCTCTCTCTCTGTCTCTCTCTCTCTCTCTCTCTCTGTCTCTCTCTGTAAAGCTCACTGAAGAGCAAGCGGCTACCTCGGACCTGCTGACCGAACTCGCCCATCCACACGGGGGCGGTGTAAGGAAAGCCTCGCCGGCTTGGGAGTATCATGTAGCACAGCATAGTAGAATATAGTATAACATAGTGCAGTGTAGTCTAGCCCAGTGTAGTCCAGTCTAGACTAGTATAGTATGAATACCCTTATCCCTAAGCCCGATGTTATGGCATAGTAAAGGACACGACAGACTGCAGTGGCAATGGGCAGAGCTGTTTTCACAGACCCAGAGCACCCCTTGCACCCGACCAAACCCCAAAACCATCGCTCTTATTATACTAGACTAGACTAGACTAGGCTAGGCTAGACTAGACTACTAGACTATACTAGACTATAATAAACTCGACTAGACCTGGACTAGACTATACTAGACTATACTCTGTTACACTCCCTGAGGCCCTCCAGGGAGTGAGGATCAAGGCGAAACGGGGTAGGGCTTCTGAAGCAGCAGAAGCCCAGTTCTCGCCCCGCTTTTGCCTGGCCTTCTGCCAAGGCGAAGCCCCATTTTGTGTCGAAGACGAACCTGCCCACATTAGGGCTTCGGGTTGAAAGGGTTGAGGGCACTTTGCAAGCTGGGTGCCGACTGCACTGCTTCTCTCAACTCCCCTCGGCCTCAACCCTAAACCCCACAAACCCGGGCCTCATGTACCAGAAGGTGTCCGCCAGATGAGAGAACACCACGAGCACGATTGCCAAGAGGGTGCAGACCTCAGCTGCAAGCTCATAGCTGGGGTTTAGGGCTTAGGGTTTAGGGGCTAACAAGATCGTAAGCTGTGTCATTGTGCAGCGAGTGCAGGACTTCAAGATGATCCGAGGCAATCCACCGTGTGCCTGGTCCGCAAGAGGCATCAGACCATCCTATACCTACAGTGGCTACCCTGCAAAATCCCATGAGATGCTCGAAAACCCGATATGGGAAAGGAAGGCATCGGCCATAAACGCAACCAGGGAGCAGCCAAGAACATAAAGATCCTCAGAGACTCGCACAACAAGGTGTGGCTTTTGTGGGTTTTAGGGTTTAGGGTTTAGGGTTTAGGGTTTAGGGACCACCAGCTAGCGCAGAGCAGGTAACTGCCGATAGGCTTCAGAGTCTGAATCAATTACGGGTCAGGTGGTCCGCCTAAAGCAAAATCTCACAGCTCTACTTCCAGAAGACATCCGCACAGAACCGTTGATGTTTTGGGGCTTTGTAGTCAAGGGCCTAACTGTCTGGGGTTGACGGCCCCTGCAAAAAAAGCATGCGGCTTTGAAGGGTTTAGGGTTTAGGGTAGTGGAGTCAGGGCTTCAAAGCACGGGATATGAAGCCTCTCTCAGGGCGAACGCATTTGAGCAGCCCCTTGATCTCAAGACTGCTTGCACCGTACGCCAGGAACCCGAAAGCCCCAAGCCCAGCTGGCCGAATATGACCTTAGGGTTTAGGGTTTTCCGGTTTAGGGTTTTAGGGTTTAGGGCTTTAGGGTATTAGGGTTCAGGGTTTAGGGTTTAGGGTTTAGGGTTTTGGTGGTTTAGGGGATTCGAGACAACCAAATTAGCTCCCCTCTGCA